ATTTTTTACTTCTATAGTTATGTTTATATATCTATGTAAACCCAATTTCACAAATCTGTTATAATTATATAAATTTTATAAATTTTTATTTAATAGGAATACTAAGTTTTTCCTTTACAATATATATATATTTTTATATATATTTTAGACACAAAAAGCACTTAATATGAGTAAATTACGTGCTGATATAACTTATCAACATCGTTGTAAACCAGATAATCTTTTTTCTTTTTTAAATACTGCTTAGACATATGATAATACTACAAATCAAACAACATATGATCATACTACAACTCAAACGATGTATGATAATACAACTCAAACAATGCATGATAATACAACTCAAACAATGCATGATAATACTACAACCCAAATAACATATGATAATACTACTTTAACTCAAATAATATATGATAATACTAATTCAGAAATATCTGATATAGCTGATAGCAATAATAATATTGGCTCATCAGATAAAATACAAAATGAATATTTAGATGAAGATAATAAAGAAGTTGAAGATAATGAAGAATATGATTTGACTTATATTTCTAAGACAGAATTTGGTGAGTATCTTCAAGGGTGGGTAGAAATATTAAATGAAGAAGAAGAGACAGATATAATCGATGATCAAAATGATCCTGTAGAGTTAGATAATAGTACTTATCCGGCTTTAAATAAAGATGTGAAATAGAAATTATCTGATTTATTTTGTCTATTAGATCTTCTATTTCATTAAATTTATTAAAGCAAATAATATTTCGAATTGGTTATAATTGTCAGAATAGTAAAAAAAAGATAATTAGCAGTAAAAATAGGTTATTTGATTTATTATTATTTTTTTATTATGTATAAATTATGTTCTATAATAAATTCTCTTTATTTGATAGTAAAAAAGATCACAATAGTTAGAATTTGATTGTAAAGTTATCAATATAGATTTAGATAGTATGACTAATTAGTCTTTATTAAGCATCTAAATTAATAGTGATAGTATAATGTTAACAAAAAAAAAACTTAAAGATACCAGTCTTTTTTTTTCAGAATTAATACTAATTGGTTAAATTTAAAAATCACATGTAAACCTTTAGGACATTCTTAAGCACCTTAAATTTACTTAGTGGAAAATATTTTAAAGAGTCAAATAAGTTTAACATAATAATGAATATTTAAATAAACATCGAATCGAAGTTTATACTTCAATTTACCAATATTTTACAGCAAACTATCTTATTTCTGGCTTGGCAAATTTACAACTAATTAAGTATTCAAAGAGATCTCAAAGTAACCTTATCATGCAGCAACCGAATATTAACGAACTAAACGTAGTGATGATATTTAGTAAAATATTAATGAATCGCTTAAATATCAATTGCATTGTATATATACAAATATAGTTATAGTTACGATTACAAGCTAATCGCATTGAGTTTGAGGCTTGAGAATACCCTTAGTAAATTAATACAATAACTGCTTCAATTAGTCATATTGATTGAGCACCATCTTAACCACTAGTAGCTTAGTTTATGTTAAAGAAGCTACTTGATATATTTTTTAGAAAAATCTAAAACCCTAATATGAATTAATTGATTATACGTAAGCTACTAAAAAAAACTAAATATATTAAAAGTAAGTTTGAAAAACTTCATATTCAGTTTGACTTATTATCTTTATAAATTAATACTTATCATTATTTTATTTAAATATTAACAGATGTGTTGGTTCAATCGATGTTGTATAGTTTAAGTATTTCCGATATATTCAATATTCAAAAAAGTTCAAACTTGTTAAAAATATATAGCTATATGTAAACCGGGTATTTATTAATATTCCTGGTCTTGGTTGAGCGTAAGTAATAATGATAAAGTCACTTAATAGTAATAGTAATTTACAAATAATTTTATTGGCTAATAGTCATATGCTGATTAATATAAATTAGTCTAGATGTCCGTGATAAAAAAATTTTCACGGACATGTCCACGGACGTTCCATCCCAGATATGTCCACTGTCTGTATCCGTGTTCTATGACAACACTGCCTAGGGAGTTTATTCAAGAAAAATCGGTTTAGATAATAAGAGACCTCAGGTACTTTTTATAGTGAATTATGATAGTTAGATCATCAAAATTGGCCTTGTAGATCTCAAGATATTTAGAGTTAAAGACGCGAATATAAGGATCTACAAATTGATAGTTACACAAAGTATTATAGACTATAATACTTTGTATAACCACCAATTTGCAGATTCTTATGTTCACATCTTTAAC